TCCTGTACGTAAGGTTTTCAATGGTTTCATGGTAGTTAAATATTTTATTACGAATTGGAGGTAAAAATTTGTATACGACTGTAGGTGAAATTTTAGCAATGGTATCTGGTATAGATTTAGTTTCTGATCGGTCTCTAAAGATTCTATTCAATCCAATCTCTTGTATATGTTGATCTGTAAAAAGGATTTTACATAACAGATCAGGTTTTTTCTTATGCACTTTACGAGGCTGTATTGAATGTTTAGGTGAAAATTTACTATTTATCAAATCGGTTATAACATCGTAATATTGAATAAGAAAGCGTTCATTAAGTTGATTAGAATAGATGATATCGGGCTATACTATATACCGGATAACACCGAAAAACACCGGAAAACAACCGGAAAACACCAGAAAACTACCGGAACACCATGTTATACATACCAAGTTTTCCGGTTGTTTTATGGTATTTTCTGGTATATAGTATTGTCGGATGATATCCTGTATGAGGACACCAAGTTTCTTAGCTGTTAATTTTTTCAAAGTGTGTACAATTTGTCGGGCTAGTTTGAGTACAAAGCTGCACAGGACAATTTATCGGAAGTATGGCATTGGCATACAGAATACAATTCACTCAAAATACTTTCCGGGTCTTTTTGAAATTTCTATTTTTTTTATAGAAGGTTTTTTTTATTTTGAAAATTATGATCATGTTTTTTGTAACAATTTCTTGTAATCAAAGTGTTTTCATCACGGTTGTTATAATCGATATTTTCAAATCTATCATTGAGACCATAAGGGAAAATGGTCTGTAATTTTATTACCCAAGTTTCCTCTGCGTGAGTTATTTTTTGTGTAACAGCAGTGAGGTGTCCTGAACCGGGAAGTTCTTTAATTATTTGAACTCTGTATCCAAAATCCTTACAGGGGTTGTGTTAAAAATGTTGATATAGTAGTTTGTGTTCATTTTCAGAATTTCCTGCAGATTTACCTGTTACTCCAACATTCTGTAATCTACAGTAATTGCAGGTCAATAAATATACTATATTTTGTATATTACAATTAATGTTTTGATCTGTAGAAATGTGGTAGCATCGACCAGTAACGGAGCTACCAAACCTGTGGGATTCATTGTAATCATCAGTTCATAACTTACATGCACCAAAAGACAGACTACAAAATTCACAATTTATATTCGAATCAATTGAATTATTAGGTTGGTTACCCTTATGGGTAAGATTTGATGTCACACTAGTTTTACCCCCCCCCCCCCCGGGCAGCCAATGCATCAGAACTACCGGCTAGATTCTTATTGGTGCGATTAACATGCGGAGTCACGTAAGGTGTTCCGTGTAGAGGGACAAGATTTCTCATAGGGTTGCTAGCCCAATGGCAGGCTACTTCAAGGTGGGGGCTTAAATTTATTCTAGAAATAACCATAATTTATTTGAAAAATCGGATAAATGTAAATAGATAGTGATGATAATGATGATGAAAAATGTGTAGTGTGTAAACAGGAGCGAAACCCAAAACGAGAACATTCTACAGTACGAAGGGTTAAAAACTCTATTCTAATAGTGAGTGGAGTGGGACTGCACCGTACATAATTTACACAGAAACAAATACATGGACAAGACATCATATTCAGAAACCACAAATAAACAAACAATTCAAAAAAAGTGAATGGATCCGGAGGCTAGCCGTAAGCGTCCACTGCGCTGTACAGTCCCGGGCCTGTAGTGGCAAAGACTTGACTCAAATTTGAAAACAATCAGGAATACAGCCCAAAGAAACCATTGTCTAATGCCAGTATGAGTCATGATCTGCCATATGCTACAAGAAATATTAATGTAAGCATATTGTAGAAAAATTAAACTATACAGGTAGGCCTAACCACATCGGTGAAATGTATAAAAAATTAATCTAAAACTGAATGCTCTAAATCAATCAAGAAACGTTTAGATATTCAACGGAATCGAGGTATATTGAATACATTTAGAGCAAAGGTTCCACCCGTCACAAATACAAACAGGCTAAAGTTCTTCCATTATATAAATCAGGTCCAAAATCCCAGCCCAATAATTATCGCCCCATATCTATACTTCAAACTATTTCTAAACCCTTGGAAAAGCATATTTGTAAACACATTAATAACTTTCTCCTGGATCACGATTTACTTTATTCTCATCAGTCTGGTTTTAGGTCCAAATTTTCTTGTCATACTGCCCTTACAAATATTGCAGAAAATGTTTATTCTGCCATTAATAAAGGTCAATACACTGGTTTAGTATTCTTTGATTTCCGTAAAGCCTTTGATATGGTCAATCACTCCCTGTTACTTGAGAAACTAAAATTATACCAAATTATGCACATTATTAGAATCGTATTTATCTGAGCGTTATCAATGCACTCAAATTGGTGAAACCAAGTCCTCTCTTGATATCACAACCCATGGTGTTCCTCAAGGCTCCATTCTTGGACCACTACTATTTAATCTGTTTATTAATGACCTTCCTCTAAATTTGACAGCTCAATGTGATCTTTTTGCTGATGATACCACTGTATATTCTTCTTCTACACTTCAGTCAGAAACTGATAAAATCATACAATGGTGCAACTCCAATGACATGATCATCAATGAATCTAAAACTAAATGTATGATTATTGCTTCAAAACCTAAAATAAATTCCTTATCTACACATTTGTCCATTTCTATTAATTCTACCTTCATTGAACACGTTTCTGACTTTAAACTCTTAAGGAGTATATTTTGACTCTAATCTTTCTTGGAACACTCATGTAAACCATTTATGTACTATTTTAAAACAGAAAAACTTTCAACTTGGGAAAATCAAATCATTACTTCCAACTGATGTATTAAAATTATTTTATAACGCTCACTTTCAATCATATCTTGACTACTGCTCTACCATTTGGGACTCCTGTCAAATTTCTTCTCTTAATAAACTTAAAATTATCCAAAAATTATCATTTAAAATTATATTCAACAAACCTATTATTAAATATAATTCTTCTGATTCTTCATATTCCATTCTTTCAAAATCTTTAAAACTGCCTACCATTCAACAACGTCATTTAATGAATAAATATATATTTCTGTTCAAAATATTAAACTATAAAAGTCCAAATTACTTGTGTTCCTTATTTCAATTTAAAAATACTCCTTACAACTCTATAAATCTTAAATTACACATTCCACATCCAAATTGTACTAAATTTAAAAATAGTCTTAGTTATAATGGACCAGTTTTATGGAATTCACTTCCAAATAATTTAAACTCATTACATGTTCTCTAAACTTTTAAAAAAATCACTGCATAATTATATCCAAAATGTTATATAACTATTCTGTATATTTAAATTTAAACCATTATCGTTTTCTGCATTTGATGTTATTTGGAATGTAAAGAATACATTTTCATTATTCAGTTTCCTTGTATGTATAATATATGTGTATGTTTGTTTTGTCTATTGTCATTTAAGGGCAGAATTGTAAACAGGCTGCAAAGCCTAATTTTTCACCCTTTTGAAAATAAAGAACTTATTATTATTATTATTATTATAAACAAAACTGAATACAAAGAAGCAAATAGGAAATGTAGACTGTCTCGAAAGACAGCCATCTCCTGACTGAGTGGCGTGACGTAAAAAAGCCGTTATTTTGGCACCTTAGAAGGTGATATTATGTTCTTGACACCTTATAGTCCTACAATATTAACCCATCTTTAATAAATTCATATTTGCTCTGTATTATCCTATTAAAAGGAAGAATCGCATAGATTTCTATACACACATTTGTATGGAAATAAAATTCATTTACAAATCGGATGGGTCTATAGGCAGACTAGTAGGGCCTCTGAGATAATTTGTATGTGCTGCAATGGAGCAAGACAAAATTTGGAAATAGGATCGGTAGCTCTGCGACTCGAATACTGGCCATGTAGACGTAAAAAAACCCTATTATAATACATTTATGACCCCCCCCGTCCCGAAGCGACGTACCGATTCCACCCCCTCTCCTCAATTGAGCCTGTTATCTATGCAAGTAATGGATGTTATCCGGTGTGAACACGTGACCAGGAGTTAGTTCACCTGCCTAAACTCACTGGTTTTCTCCGAGTATTCCTTTTCTAAAGTTATTTATTTGAACACTGTATTTCTATAAAAGGAGAGGTCACGGTGGCTAAGTGGGTAAGACGCTGGCTCGCTAGCCTGGAGGTCGGATGTTCGATCCCTGCATTGACCGAGAAAGTTCATCCAGATTTTCCGGCGTGGTTCCCCATTGTCAGTGATGCAGGATGGAAGGCCTGACAAGGACAGCTGTCTAGTCGTTCGGATTGGACGACAAACCGAGGTCCCGTCGACAAATTGGCGTGTACGTAAAAGATTCCTTGACAATTTGAATTCGATATAAGAGTAGGTCGTAGTGCCGCTGCCCGGGCAAAATGATGCCAAAAAAATGATGATCAATATTTTCATTGAAAAATATCAATGAATGAAGTGTGGATAAAAGGATCATCATATTATATAAATTCTTTCCGAAGTATAATCCTTGAGTGGCATTTAGTGATTGAGCACATTAAAAAACACAAAGTACGTACTTGATAACGATAAGAGAATACTTGTGATTGTTTTCCATATAAATTGTGTTGTGTTTTTTACTTTCCGAAGTGTTGATAAAGTGATATGCAAAAGTGCAGTTAAACTGCAGTTAAAGTGACAATACTTGTGATTGGTTTCCATATAAATTGTGTTGTGTTTTTTACTTTCCGAAGTGTTGATAAAGTGATATGCAAAAGTGCAGCTAAACTGCAGTTAAACTGACATGCAGAAGTGCAGTTAAAGTGATCGTTTTCTCTGATGTGTTTCACGGAGTTTATCGGAATTTTCATTAATGCCATTGTTAGACTTTGTCGTGTGTTTTTCACGGCTTTTGCATACTTTATCAAGAACCGATTCCACCGCTTTGTACAGTAAATGTTTTTGTCGTTTGTTACAGCGTGTTTGGTTTATTTTAACAGTAAGGAGAATATTAATATTGATGAGTATTAAGATGCTACCCAGACATGAACATGAGAGGGCCTATAAGCTACACAGACAACGGGTATGTACACTTCATCTTAATTTAACAGACATCTTAGATCTCGAAGTTTTACATATTTTATTATTATTTTTAAACATGGAATAGAGGCCCAACGTATAACAGTTCCTAAGTAACGTTTTCTAATCTGTCAGACAGTCAGAGTATGGCTTCGTTTGGAAATGGCTGTTATGTTGACCAAGGCATCGTTTGTACACGTAGATCGAACACTTTACTACACGACTCTATGAATAACAGCTGGTCTTGCATACTAGGCTGGGTAGTCATTCTGGGATACCTTATAGTTTATAATATCCGATAGTTCCTACATTTTTTGTATTTATACAACTCGGTTGGTAATTCTGTTGACATTCATTACTGGTTTAGAAGTACTGGTACCCACTTTCAGTATTGTCAATATTATTACTGTCTATTCTTTCAACATATTGTATTGTTTCTTGTTTTGTTTTGTTATTTGCTCAATGTACGGATACGTGTGAAAGAAATATCAAGAACGGATTTTTAATATTGACATCTTAAGTGTTTTGTGTAATTTAATACAGCACGTTGCTATGCTGTCTCTACAAAAGCCTAAGGCAGTCTATTTGGATATGAAAATATACAAATGAACACAACTGAACCATGTTAAAAAAGTATTTTAGAAGATTGTCATAGGATTGCTTCATATATATTTGAAAGTATATTGTTATTCATTAAAGTAAATTATTACTTTGGTTGAATACAATTTATCCCATATTAGAAGACAACTCATTGGTTTAATAGATGGGTCGAGATATAAGACCACTCGGACCAAGTTATGAAGATCACAAATAAATACAACAAATATTGTATTTTATTTATCATTTTTATTTATTTTATTTATTATTCAGTAATAAAAGGATTTATTTGATCAACAATTTATAAAAAATATTAATATTAAATTATGATTTATTACATCAACAATTTTTTAAATAATACATTTTATTACATCAACAATTCATTAAATTATTTGTCAGTTAGTCCGTCAGTTGATCCTACTGTTTGTCGGTCCATAGAGTGCCGCACATCTTTTTAATAATTAGGTGATGCAAATAGTTTTTATAAACTTGTTCTGGATATGATAAACTATACTTGCTTTTCCAGAATAATTTCCGGCATGTTGACGGCAGGGCGAACGGACAAGTTGAATGTACTCTGGTCACTCTGTACAGGCAAAGACAGTCTAATACTTTCCGCCCTCGGTGAAAAGAAACTCGTGGTTTCATCAGGTGCTGCACATTTAAATGCCACCAAGGTCAATTCCTTTATCATCCTGCGGTACTGGGCTCTAAATATTTCTGAAAAATACAATATTGTTGAATTTAAAACAATATTGTTGAATTTAAAACAATATTATTTAAAACAATATTGTTGAATATAAGAATATAATACAATAATATTGTTGAATTTGATACAGTATTGTCGAATTTAATACAGTATTGTCGAATTTAATACAAAATTGAAGTAAAAGATTGGTTTTAAAAAAATAACATTAAAGTAATAACATTATTGCAAGTTCTCTGCCGTCATCGTTACAATCCGTCGCAAGTGAACAGCCTCCTGTACAGGTTTATCCTTATCTAAGTTTGATTGACTAGTTCTTAGTATATTGCATTCTAAGAATTTACACCAATACCCAGCATGTCAATTCCTCCAGCTTCCAGAAGTATATTTAAGTATTGGGGAGCAATAATGCAAGAGGATCAACACAACTGAAAGACCGTGGGTGGGATTGGGTGGGGAAAATCGACTAAAAAGAGGGGCATAGTGTGCATATCCCATGTCCACCAGTACAACTGACTACCGCTCCCGCTGTCTTAATGAAGAATGAATTGAATACATCATACTACGTCATCATCGGAAATACCACGTGAGGATCTACACCAATCCGCAGCATGTCATTTCCTTCAGCTTCCAGAAGTTTTAAGTATTGGGGAGCAATAATGCGATAAAATATCTCCCGAACCCCCTTCAAACGCATTATTCCCAATACTCAAAACAAAAATATCAAAACATCACAAAAAGGTGTAAGTCAGGTGATGAGGGAGTACTGTCCCAGTGTAATCCACTCTGGCTTAGTTCGGACTGAAATCAAAGTAAGATCGTAAGTACACCTTCTCTCACATTCTGGAACAAATAAATACGGATACTGTAAATCAAACAAGGAGACAGGACCCCCTCACCCCTGACCCACGTGAATAAGAAATCCACTCAAGACATCAGTGTCCCACGGGTCAGTGGTAAGAAAGATTCCATCTAGAAACATACAAATCGTTACACCCATCACTCAACAACAAAATAAATGCGAAAAATGGGACTAAATGATCACGCCACATTGTCACAACTCACTTGTCTACCCCCCCCCCCCCGATCATGGCTGACGACACTACTAAGACACTTAGTAGTCTGTTGTGTAATCAATTTCTCTTAATTAATCAATTGCGTCGATCTATAAATGCTAAAAATAACATTCACCAATAAATTTCTCCACTGAAAATTACCAATTTTGCCGCACAAATAATTTCGCGCCACCAAGGCTTTCCTATTTCCATCAGGACTTTTAAAAGTTGAATACTACCAAAGTATAGCCCTAAGCCACCAAGACTATTGGCTACTAGCCAAAATCAAAATGCCTCCAAGGCTATTGGCTACCTAAGCCAAAATCAATAAGCCACCAAGGCTATTGGCTACCCAAGCCCAAATCAATATACCACCAAGGTATTTTCAAGTAAAAATAAAATCTATTACCGTTTGATGAAACAAGCACACGTCTGTCCACCTCGCTGTCTTAATGAAGAATGAATTGAATACATCATACTACGTCATCATCGGAAATGTCACGTGAGGATCTCTTTATTTCAATGAATTTAGTGCAAGTTGTGTTAGTTGAGCATTTCTCGTTATGTCCAAACTTTTGACAGTTTTCTAATTTGCACACACGCGAATAGTTCTCATGGTCACACACGCGAGTATATAATATAAATTATTCTAAAGGTCACACGCGCAATGTAGATATTATATCCATTTTCTTCTCCCGTACAGCGTCGTTGTGGTCAACTGTAAGGAGATACAATTTTGTTTTCTTATTTTATTCCGTCGTCTTCTTCTTCGTCTTTTTTTTGGTTTTTTTGTATCAATTGCGAGGGTCACTAGTAGCATTCTTTGTCGCAGTTATTGTTGTCAGATAGCCTTTTCTTTGTCCATACCGTCTGGCCGAACGGTGTGTTATGACATGTGCTATGAAGAGTATTATAACTGCCACCCGGGCCCAAGTTTTATCATCTGCTTATCATATCATGGAGTGAACTTAATTAATAGTTAATCAAATTAGCAAGTGGGACAGACTTTAGATAACGATATTTACATTATTATTTACATGGATACAATTGAAATTAGGATGTCATATTGTTTTACCTCAAGATAAAGAACAATCAATGATCTTAAATAAGATATTTTTGAAAGAACCAACGGTTTATCTCAATAATCATTAAACACAACACAAAACAAGACAATGCGTTCGCTCTACTTTAAGCGAGGGCATATAAAGCCACTCAATTTCTCTTGAATATAAATAAAATCTCTCCCGAACTTTCGCTGCATCCCATTAATATCTGAGGTACTACGTCAAAACACAAATAAAATCTCCCCCGTAAGTATCGGGCCATCCCATTAATATTTGGGGTACTACGTTACATCACAAATAATAATCTCTCCCGTTAATATCGGGCCATCCCATTAACATTTCGGGTAATATACACGTATAGACAAAACAAAAGAAACTTAGAGATAAACGCATTAATACTTTGTGAATGTTAATGGGTTAAATTCCAAATTACGATACTGTTAACCAAATTCTAGTTAAACAATGTTAAATGCCAAAATATGTGTTCAAAAACAAACAATTATAATTTATAATCTTTTAAAAACAACATGACCCATTGTAAAACAAACAATATATATACAATTTTGTTTTAGGCATTTTCCTACAAATGGTTTTAAAGTACTGTTCCACTACTAGATTGAAAGGCAATATATTTAATTTTTTGAATTAGGGGCATCAGTTGAAAGGTCATATTTCTTAATAAATTTAATCTAATTAATCTAATGATATTTAAGCGTTGATTTCCTCAGTTAAATTATTGAACATAGCACTAATATCAGGATTCAGCGTGGCCATAGTAGGATTAGAAAAAGACTCACATTTTAATAGCTTCTAGTGGTTAGGACTTCAAAAACGTTGGTCTGGTCTACGGCGCCAATTAATATGTGACAGTATTGGGTCTTTAATTCAGGTTCTTGACAAGACTGGTTTAACTTCAAATAATTCTTTTATCCTGCTTCTAACATATCATGTACAAAACTTCTTAATGTTAAAGACCCCATAACTAACGGGCTATACTATATACCGGAAAACACCGGAAAACATCGAAAAACAACCGGAAAACAACCGGAAAACACCATGTTATATTCTTATGTAATTATGTTTTTATATGTGTTAGAAGATTTTAATTGAACGATTGGAATTAAAACAATATACTATACTGTGTAATCAATAAACCCCAAAGTTCAACGATCTACCTTTGTTTCATACTTTTTTATACGCCACATATTTTCATGTGGACGTATATTGTCGTCGCCCCTGTCCGTCCGTCCGTCCACAATTGTTTGTGAACAGTCTACAGTTCACAATTTTTATCCGATTTCAATGAAACTTGAAATATAGGTTTATCACCCTAAGATCTCTGTTCCTTTCGATATTGGCATTTATCGGACCATAACTTCATGGATTATGGCCCCTGATTGTACGAAAAACCACGTTTTTGGCTTGTGAACACTGTAGAGGCCACAATTTTTATCCGATTTTGTTGAAACTAGAAATGTAAGTTTATAACCTAACGATCTCGGTTCCTTTAAATATTCGCGCATATCGGATCGTAACTTCCTGAATTATTGGCCCTGATTGTACGCAAAAACGCGTTTTTTGGCTTGTGGACCCTATAGAGGTCATAATTTTTATCCGATTTAAAAAAACGTATTATTATATCACCGTTAAACCCTAAGGATGATTGAGTTCGAATTTCGTGAAAATCGGCCCCAAAACTGACAGACAAAATGACCGCCGTTCGTTCTCAAATAGCGTAAAAATATGGCATATCAAGGTTGTGGACCCTATAGAGGTCACAATTTTTATCCGATTTTGTTGAAACTTGATCTCAGTTCCTTTCGATATTCGCGCATATCGGACAGCAACTTCCTGAATTATGTCCCCTGATTGTACGCAAAAAAGCGTTTTTTGGCTTGTGCACCCTATAGAGGCCATACTTTTTATCCGATTTAAAAAACCGTATTATTATATCACCGTTAAACCCTAAGAATGATTGAGTTTGAATTTCGTGAAAATCAGCCCAAAACTGACAGACAAAATGGCCGCCCCTCGTTCTCAAACTGCGTAAAAATATGGTATATCAAGGTTGTGGACCTTATAGAGGTCAAAATTTTTATCCGATTTTGTTGAAACTTGAAATGTAAGTTTATAACCCAAAGATCTTGGTTCCTTTCGATATTTGCGCATATCAAATAGTAATTTCCTGAATTATGGCCCTTGATTGTAGGAAAAATCACTTTCGGTTTAGCTTGTTTTCTATCCATCTCTCGAAAATGTGGGCGTATCCTGCCTGGCAGCCGCTGGTTATATTTTTAGTTACATTTCGTCATGTTATCAGTCATATTGTGAAATCAGTACATGCTTGAGCACACGCTTAATTCGAAAGTTATTTAATAGTTATTCCATTCATTTGCTCACATATCTCGAACATCTAACTTTGTCGCCTTGCTCACATACATTTTGTCTCACATTCTCTGTTTCATACAACACATACCACAGTTTCCTACTTGTTTTATATTTTTAGTTGCATTACGTCACGTTATCAGTAACATTGTGAAATCAGTACACGCTTGAGCACAAGCTTGATTCGAAAGTTGTTTAATAGTTATTCAATTCATTTGCTCACATATCTCGAAGATCTAACTTTGCTTATACACTTTTTGTCTCACATTCTCTGTTTTATACAACACATACCACGGTGAATAAACACATTGGCTAAATACTGCAAACAAGTCTATATAAATATACATTTTATTCCCCTCCCCCTTTTTTCCGAATCCACTGTATCCCGTCTTAACAGCTTTCTTATCTTGTCCCATTTGCACACCGTCCACACAAACAGTTTTTCACCGCTTACCCCCACCACCACTCTTGGAACATGGATAGGTTCAGCACCAGAAATCCTCTCCTTCCGACGCCCACTCATCTACCAATGGAATGGCCACAGCTCCGGAACAGATTCCAAGCACCACCAGGCTTTCACCAACCACCACCTGGTTTTCACCAACCACCACCACCACCTGGATTTCACCAACCATCACCTGGATTCCGCTACCAGCGGCAACCAAGTCGACAACCAAACCAGCGCCAACCAACTCAACATCAAAACCAGCGCCAACCAAATCGAAAACCAAACCAGTGCCAAGCAAAACGACAACCAAACCAACGCCAACCACCTCCAGAGAATGCAGGTATCGTGAAAATCTTCTTCCAGGTCCTGCAATGCCTCCACCATTTGACCATTATGGAGAGCCAGGAGAATGAAACACCCACCAGAAGTTTCACTTGGAAGATCCAAGACCTGAACAAGATCGTGAAACTGGCCATGAAGGCGCCCACCATAGGCACTACCATTGAGACATTGAACTTGAAATGGGCCAAGGACGTCGCCTCATCCTTGTCGACACACTACCGAGCCATGCTAGCTGATAAACTAGAGTACTTGAAGTCGCGTCAGTTTAGCAAAGATGTTGCACAGGAGTACTCTAGCCATGCCCTAGCATGGGCCAAGAAGTCCTACCGCAAGCGACTCCAGGATAGTGCGAAGACAGAGTTCCATCGCCTCCTGCCCACGGTCTCTAAAACTGTTACACACCCTCCCCCATCACCAATGCACATTACACACAACCTTCTCCGGGACACACCAAAACGAAACACACCCAACAAGAGAAAATTATCCCCCTCGAAGCGTGCAGCTAAATCAAACAGTTCACCCCGGGTTGTGTTTGGCTCACCTACTTCCTCGGGATCTATATCGCCACTGAACGTGCTTATCAACTGTCTGTTCCCTAGATCACCCATCATTCCTAACCCAAGAATCACCACCAGATCTTCCACCAGATGTAGACGTTCACTCAACCTATCCCGAAAGAGACCCCACAGCTACAAAGGTAAAGAGGAGAAGGAGTTACGGTACCTTCCCGCAGTCAAGGCAAAGACGCTGGTTATTGGATCCTCAAACCTAGCTAGGATTGTATCCTTCCTCGGGGACTGGGAGATCCATAGCTATTCTGGAGCCAAGATCAGCCACATCAAACAGATCCTCCAGAACTACATGGGACCTGCACCTGAAGAATTAGTGATACATGTCGGGCTCAACAATAGGGAGGAAAGTGGACCAAGGATACACGAGCAGATGCTAGATGTACTCAAAGTGACCAGGGCAGCTTTCCCAACAACCAAGCTCTTCACCACACAGATCCCCACTTCTTGCCGACTCCGACAAGAAAATCCGATCGCCTACCAAAACCTCACCAGCTACAACCAATTGATCTCCACTGCACCTTCACCAAACGCCACCACACTACCAAACTTAAAGGGCAAAATTGAACTGAAAGATAACGACGCCATCCACTGGAGCCCGGACACGGCCAGAGAGATCATAAACTGCTGGATGAGGAATTTCAACTAGGATTAGGGAAAAGGAATGAGAAGTCGTCTTTAGGACAGACAGTTGTCAATTTGAGCGACAGACTTCTCAGCCCCCTAGAAATGAACATTCTTGACAGAGGCCTTAAATTCATCCCAACCCCCACATTAACATCCATAGATCCCATCACCAAGGCAATCGATCGCTTCCATAGGACCCTTTCGCTAGCTTATTTTTTTAGGAACAAACCCGGCAGAAGTAAAAAAAACTATTCACAGAAAAATCCACATGGAAACCACCTAAAAATTCATTATCACCAACCATCTTAAAAACTTTCAACGAAATGAACATATAAATATCATCCCTTCAACCACAATCACAGAAACAAAATCTCGATCGAGCAACAAAAACAGCATTAAACAAAAAAATAATAATCAAGAAAAGCGACAAAGGCTCGTGTTGTGT